GGTGGATCGGTTGGACGAAACCCTTGGTCCAGGGGTGGACACACACACACACATCACTATGTTGGTCATTTCCGGCCTGTGCCAGGCTTTCGCTGCAAGTGAACCTGGTCAAAACAAAACCTTACTGACTAGTGTCAACATACTAAAAGTTGAACTTTGGTCCAAGCTCCTTGTCAATAGGTGGGTCATCCTCACCTTTCCTCACTGCACTGGCCTGTACAGTACACCTCTCCTGCTGTTCAGTGGACTGTTCAGTGGATAATCATCCCCTCAATTCATCAACAAAACAGGCCAAATTTAGTGAAGCTTGGCAACTCCCCTGGCCACGCGTAGGTGACACCTCCTGGCAACATGCGGCCATTCTGTGAGGACGACAGCAACTATCCACACCTTGGAGCCATTCGCTGATGTGCTGCAGCCAGCCAGCATCAACGGTTCGAACCTGGCATCAACAGCCCAGCCAAGAGTCTTTAAAGCCCGGTCGATCCAACAGCGTAAAAGAGCTGTAAGAAGGAAAGATGTGACGTACCAATCGGTCGAACAAAAATCGGACATGATGTCACTCCATTTGGAAAGGCTGAGTAGCAAACCAAGGCGTTGGAGCGATGCAAGCCCTGGTGCACGGAGTGCTTGAATGGGTCAAACTTGTTTTAGCCCCGGTGGGGGTAGGCCGCTAGGAGGTGAGGTAGGTAGTAGCTAGGTAGCTAGTAGCACTGCTTGTAGCTTAAGTCGCTACAGTACTATTCACTTAGACTTCGCAGGATCGCTCGCGCTAATGATTTGGTTCCTAGATTTTTAGGAAAACTGAAGTTTGAACAAGTGACAGTGAGCCATTGAAGGCTGAAAGTATCAGCAAAGAAAATGGCGAGTGACGAGTGACAATGCATCAAACATCGGTGGTCGACTCGAATGATGTTCACATTGAATGGATACTTTGCTCTCACTGCAAAATCTCACCCAATCACACTGAAACACCAATCAGTCCAGCCTGATGAAAGAGCTGATTCTGACCACACACCACCGGCAGTTTGCCTCTGCAAGGCAACTTCCCAAACGAATCCAACATTGATGTAAGTGCTATATAGTAAGCCAGTGGGAGGTGAAATCACAGGGCCGCACAGCAATTCTTGGTCCTTTTGGATCGACCCAATCAGTTCAACGTCCGACTACTTTGTGTCGTTGCAAGATGTTACAAGGTTCCGTGAGATCACAAATGATCGAAGATCGAAGGCTGTACATGCAGCACGCCAAGCAATTCAGGCTCAAACAGGGTCACTTGGAGAGGATCGCCAAGGCCTTCTCGCCCATCAAGTCGCCCATCTTTTTGGCTTCGGCCTTGTCTTCCTCTGAGATGTCATCCCAGCTTGCATTGGGGGTGTCATCCTTGCAGTAGGCAGCCAAGCAGCGGGAGATGCCGACACATGAGCAATTAAACTCGCCCACAATCCACTTCTCTTCCTCGGCTGCAGTGCCTGGTGGCGATGCATTGATGAAGTCCGTGGTCCACCAAAGCGGCAACGGCTCATCGGCCAAGTCCAAAGAAGGCATGACGTGGGGCAGGTCTTTCTTGAGGAAATTTTCAGTCAAATTCTTGAAAAGAGGCTCATCAGGACCATAGAAAGTATAGATCGAACCTGTTCCGCCAACTGCGGAGATTCCTCCTTCCTTTGGTTTCTTGTGGATGACGCCGATCAGCGAATCACCGATGAGATTGTAGCGCAGCTCACCTTCAACAATGCGCGGGCAAAAGCGCTGATCCACCAGCTGTCCTCCAGCTTCTTTGCCACCTTCCAAGTACTTGCCCACTCCCTTGGATGTCCATTCTCCGGATTTGTCCGTACGGCCTTTCACGCAGAACTCGATGAACTCACCAACGGTGTGCTCCTCTTCATGGTTGTCGTTGGCTTCCATGAGCATTAGTTTTTCCCCATCTTCGCAGGACCTCTCCCCATATTCCTTGCAATAGTTCTCATCCTTCAGCTTAATGATCCAAATTCCTTCTCCAGAGGAGCCACGGTTCTGCTTGATCACTCGAGGCTGAAAAGCCATGGTCTTCTTGAAACCAGCCTCAAACTCCTCTGGACTGTAGTAGGCAAGAGTGTCCTCCAAACCAATGTTCATTGTGGCCACCTTGCACAATGCATCTTTGGCACCCATCTTCTCCATCACATCGGGCGATGGCCAAACTTGCTTGCCTGCCTTCCTCAATGCACGCATGCCATCATCAAACTTCTGCTGGTCGCCTCCATCGGCTTTGATTTGCCCGGGGTTGCAACGCACGATGATGAAATCGAAACTTTTGCAAAGTTCGAAGAACTTGTCGTGCTCCTCGTGCGTGTAGTGGATCAGTTGGCAGCTCATTCCAGCAGTGATCATGCCATTGACAATTGGAATGGAATCGTAGCGATGACCATTGTTGCTCTTGTCCGAGCCTCCATACGGTTGGCTTCGGACATAAATCTGAGCTAAAGCTCCCTTATACTTGGGTGCCGAAGGTTGGGCCAACATGCCCTTGTAGTCCTTTGCGACGACAGTGATGGTGCTACAATCCACCGGGCCAGGGCATGGATCTTTTTTGTCCACACAGGCCCAAATTTTGGCAAGTTGATCTGGCGGCAGCTCCTTCAAAGCGGCAGCGATCTCCTCAGGGGACTTGCCCTCGATCATGTTCTTGTGTTCGCTGGATGCACCACCACCCATGACTGTCACAGCACAGTTGGTTGAGAGCTTCGCTCGTCAAATTTGGGCAGCTTGGGTTGTGTCAAAATGCGCTGGCCACAAGACACAGTAAGAAAGCAAACCCGTCAAACATAACAAATCACATGTGGCACTCGCAAACTAAAAGGAGTGGACAACTTCAGCTCACACGATGTCCGAAAACATGGTGTCCGGCTCTCGAAATTGAAATTAAGGACGGCACTGCCATCAGCCCTTTCAACAAAGGGTGGGGCCACAGCACCGCAGGGAAACAAAGAGATGACGTACTTCACAACCTTCGTGCAATCACAGGCCAGGCCAGGTGGAAACGCACGCATGGCGGCTACCAATGCATAATTCTGGCGAGGGACACCACACAGCGTGCAAAAGGAGGAGTATTATATATATATATACGTGCATATATATTTGTATGTCACTAAACTCCCTCACGCAGAAGCCTCACTTTTGGTTGCGCAAAGCCTGACGAGTTGCGTGAGACGGCCTACTCACTGTTCATTCAGTAAGTAGCTGAAAGAGACCGGGTCTCACCTATGCCCCTGGGTCTCTTCCCAGGAGCCCTGTCCCGGCCTCTCTGCCTTTCCCCCCACTTTAGTCTGCAGCGAGGCCCGCGCTGCCCCACTCTAGCCTTACCTAACGTACGTGAGGAGAAAACACCCCCAACACCGACGATCGGACGACTCCCGCCTTCTTCACCAAGGATCTTGCCATCGCATTTGACCTTTTCTGGACTTCTTGTCGGTCAGGTCGGCCTTCAGCTTCGCGAGCTTCGCTTCTTTCGAGGTCTTGTAGAGCTTGAGCTCCTCGTCTAACTGCCCCGCCTTTTCGAGCAGGCGGCTCATGACAAGGAATTGAAGCTCCTCGAATCGTACAGCAATGCGGTTCTCCTCATGAAAGTCATCAAAGCGCTCGTTTGTCAAGTCATCCGCCTCCTGGTTCTGCCACCTGGGAACCCACTGTAAGTCCAGGTCGATGCCCAGCCGGTCCAGCTGGGATGCCAGCTCCATAGCTATGATGCTGAGGGGATAACGGCTGCTGCCAAACTTTCGGAGAACATGGGTATTGCCAAGATTATCGGTGAGCGCTGTCAACGATACCCTCGCCTCGCCGGACGCCCACTTGGCCCCCGGAGCGAAGACCATCACAGCTGCGAGCACGCCGATGAGCTCGAGGCTAGCTATTGCACGGAAAGGATCACCTCGAAGATAGGCCCACGGCGCGTTCTTCCTGTTGAGGTGAAAAGAGAACCAGCGCGACTGGGCCTGGGGCCTCTGCTCCCAGGTCTCACATCCTCCAATAACAATCTCCTCCCCCGCTGCCTTGGCGTCCACCCTGAAGATGTCCAACGGACTAGACCTCAGCGGCTCCAGTGGACGTGTTGGTTTTCTGGCGACCTCCTCGCTGACATACTCAAGCAAAATGATCACGGCATCTGGGAACTTCGCGAAGGTCCCCCCTGCAAGTGTGGCCGACCAAGCAAAGAGCGGAGCCAGGAAAGGCCGTACGTGTCGTAGGGCCCCAGCCACAAAGGATAGCCTCCCAAGCACCGACTTGAGCTCTCGGCCGACGACTCCTCCCTGCTGCAACTTGTCTCGAACCCAGCTCAAGATCCAGGCCCTCTTCGACTCATTGATGCCACGTTCGAAGGTCGCCACATTCAGATAGTAGCCAATCCAGTTTACCTCGGCTCCACCACGCACCTTCTTCCACGTGATGGGTATCTCGAGGAGTTCATACAAGAACAGCCACATCAGAATCTTCTTCCAGAACCGCGTCCCCATAGCCGTCAACCAGCCATCATCAGCATAAATCAAATGCAGCAAACCCATGTGACGGCCCATGATGCGATGACAGGACCGGACGACCACCCCGATCACGCGGCCAAACCAGTTGGTGAATTCTGAATATCGACCTCTTGTATCTCAAATGAGAGGCATGTGTCCGCCGCCAGATCACGAAGGAAGGAAGCGACGGAGGCCTTTCGTTGTGCTCCGCTGAACAGGTACAAAACCTGACAGACTCGTGTGCCCCTCGTGGTGCCCTTTGCCACCGGAGGAGGTGGGGCTGCCTCCCCCTTTGTGCTGCTTCAATTCGACTTGGAAGCCTCGGCTGCCGTACCAGCCTTATCCTTCTTGCCTGAACCGTCACATGCATGCATGGGATGACTTCCGAAGCATAGTTGGCAGACATGAAGGCGCCCACATTGAAATCGGCACCTCTCCTTCGGATTGTTCCACTTCCAGCAAATCTGCCTGCCATCCGGTGTCTTGTCGTGCACTTGCTTTCCTTTGCGGTTCTTGGACTTGCCTCCTCCTTTCTTGCCCTTTCCCTTGCCTTTCGAGGAATCATATCTATCAGCCCGGTCATCGTGCCAGGGATGCCATCTCCCAGGTGGGCTACGCGATCGATTGTAGTCGCTTGTCCCCCTGTGTGGAGCTTGCACTTGACACCTGGGAGTACACATTGGGCGTGAGGAGGTATCTTTCTTTGATGACCGTATCTGTCATGGCCTCTTTCAACGCATCTACCATGGTGGCACCTTCGTTGATGAGCTTCACCATCTGACGCCGTACCTGGTAGTCGTATGACAGCATGAGATCGAACTCTGGCGTTGCCACCACTGCACCGTCCTTGTCCCTGGCCTTGAGGCCAAGGACATGATCACCCAGCATCAAGTCGAGGTACTTCAGAAAGTGCTGGGGCTGAAGATCGCGCAAGCTTGCCTTTTGTGGGTATTTCAACTGTGCCAGCAAGTATGAATGTGCCACAACTGCCATCCTCTTGCGAAACTCTTCCGGGTTACGAGGCTTTGGACACTCCCCGTAACCCTTCTTGATCTTCAGGGTGCCCGTGCTCTTCTCAACCATTGCTCCCAACACGTCTGCTTCTGCGTCCTCCCTGCTGAGGAACTGAACGAGACTCATGTTCTTCATCTCGCCCTGTTCGATCTGGTCGAACACCTGTTCCAGCGTTGATGCCGCCGGAGTATTTCTGTCCTCCAACTTGACGTTGAACACGGACTGGAACTTGACGAGCAAATCCTGGACTTCTACCTTGTTCAGGGCGCGCGGCAAGCTGGCCACCCCTGCCTCTGCCTCAGCCTTGTTTCTGACTGTAACGCGAGTGCTCGCCGACTCCCAAGCATCTACCAGGGACGCTATCTCGACCACGTCCCTGGCTTCCTCAAGCCCGAGCACATCAACGCAGAATCTCCTCATGCCCGGCCTGTCATCCGCCACCGTGCTCATCCGGCTCATGCTCCTTACACGAGCCACTGAGAGCTTGGCTTGAAGCACATCCTCAACCTCCTTCACCTGAAGAAGTCCGTGAAGATCCGCATCTAGTAGAGCTATGGCGTTTCTACGCCTCTCATCCGTGTCGTGACCGATCCCGGCCATCACGACCCCTCACCGCACCGGCCCACCGTTCCGCCGGCGCGTCCGCCCAATCGCTAGGGCCCAAAAGCTCATCGTCATCCACCTGATCAGGCATGGATTTATTCTCATCAAAGTTCAACATGCACAAACAGCACAACTCATGCACAGCAGAGAGTCCAGAACAAGCCAAGCACCTGTAATACCTTTATGCCTTTACAACACGAACGACACGACTCGACGACTCGTTCCCCCTCTCTCTCTGACAACCCTCCTAGCTCTAGACGGAGTGGTCTCTTCATCTTTGGACTGCCAATCTAAACGTGGCACTTCCTTCCCCCTCCCGGCTCGTCCGAAAAGGTGCACTTATTGCCACGCTCTGCCATGCGCGGTATCTGCTGCCCGGAATCTTACTGTACTTTCGTTCTCATTCCGAGCCTTCACGATCCGAGTCCGTCATCTCTGATGACGAGACCTCCCCCGAAGTTTCCTCTTCGACGGAATTCATTGCCACGGCATCTTTTCTACCGAAGCATTGTTTACATGCCTTATGATACTTGCCCGTACTGGGAGTGTCTTCTCCCAGTACCTCGAAATGGGCGTAGTGCCTATGGCACTCCCCGATCCGGTGAAGCGTTTTGGTCTTGCACCGCCCCACCACAGAGACGACATACATGCCTTTCACGCTCTCAAGCGGCGTGATCTCTGAAGGCACCACCAGCACCTCTTCATCATTGTCCTCCAGTCCGCCCATCGCCTCTGGCTCCACCTTGACCTCGACAATGTCCTCTGCATCCTCCACCAAGACCACCGGGCCCGAAGTGGTCCAGGTCGGCCTCCGGCAAGGTTTCGCTGCCCCTTCGCCTGGCATGAAGCTCATTAGCCTCATCATTTGCTGGTCGCACTCCTCTTGGCCATAGCCCATGCCCTGCATGCGTTGCTCCACCAGCTGCACAACTGTTGTCTCATCAAAGGGGTCCGAACAGGACATGTTCTGCTTGATGAATGCGGCCAGCACCTTCTGGCACCTGAGGACGTTGGTACGAAGGTTTCTCTCGTACCCCTCGTCTGCCGATGGCTGCCACCTGCCCAGCATCTTTCTGACATCCTCCGGGATCCTCGCCGCCTGTGCCCATGTACGAATCGTTGCCCGCTCGCTGTGTTCTGTCCACAGAACTCCAAGCCCCGGCTCCAGCACAGTCCTCCTGTCATTGCCCTTTCCCACGGTCATCTCGTTGAAGAGCGCCTGTGACATCGCCGATGCAATCGGGTAGTCCACAACTTTCTTGATGAAGCCCGTGCGATTGTTATTCGGCCATGGCAGCATGAAGTCACGAGACTGCATACCTGACTCCACCCCCATAGATGCCCACAGCTTCCAACCCACTGTAAGCCAGGACGCCTCGCAGATCCAGGCGTCCTTGTGGATGTAAAAGGGGAGGATCACAACCTTCTTGCCTGGGCCAGATGTTTTGGAGCGGCTGATGATGCCCTTCAGCCCCCATTCAGTCATCTCGATCGTTCTGTTCGGGGTGCCCTTTGTATCATCAAACCTCATGCCTGTCCATAGCTTGAAGAGCCTGAACCAGGCATAAACCCTGTCGTAGTTCGCGATCTTCTCATCGCAGACGTACGTCTCCAGCGCCACCACTAGAGCCACTGGCAGCAGCAGCGCCTTTCGCGCTGCCTTGATCTCGACCCCTTGTAGTCGAAGGATCGACTCTTCAAGGGCGTTCTTCACGGCTTGAGATCTACACACTTGCTCATGCTCCGGCACTTCACCTGCGTGCTCGAGAAACATCAACGTCTTGAACACTGATTCTGGGAAACTCCTCGAGCAGGGCTCTTCTACCATAGCCTCCAGAAATTCGGCGAACTGCTCCGGTGACTCCGGCCAGATGCAATTGAAAGTCGCATTCAGCCATCGAGCCGCTTTTGCCCACGTTTTCACGTGCTTGCGGAGCGTGTTGGGGCGTCTGCCCTTGGCCACGCGGATCAGCATGGCTTCCTGGCTCGACCGCAAGGAGACCGGCAACTTTGCGGACTTGACAATGTCCCGGATGTCCTTGATCCACCTGTCACGCTCCTGCTTCTCCGCGAGCTCCCTCAGCGCCAGGTCACTGGACGCTATATGCAGCTTCATGCTTAGCCGTGTCGGCCATCGCGCTCTCTTCGCGGAGCCCACGAGTTCAACCCGTGATTTGACATCCTCGGACACCAAGTCGCCGAAGACCCTCCTCCTGACTTCTCTTTGATGTGCCACATGTGCGTCAAGTAGATCCTGGGATCCCCTCTTCGCATCCCAGGCGTGCCGAGTCTCAGCCCGGACGCTAGACCTGTTCACCAGGTCCCTCAACTTTCCCACCTCGAGGTCAAAGGTGTCCAGCTGCTGCCTCGAGGATCTCCTTCTCGCAGCCCTCTAGCGTTGCAAGGCGCGTCACCGACCAGCCGCCCTGCTCCATGGCCCTGGCTTCGTCCGCCGTCAGTCCGGCAAGACTGCACACCAGGGCCATGTCATCGGCTGCATCCATGGGAGGCGCAGCTAGACCCCAAACCCTGCTGAAAGGGGTAGCTTGCGCCAAACGCTCAACGGTCGTCTCGTGACATACGGTGTTCTACGAACAGCACGTCATATATAATCCTACTATAGTATACTATAGTGACGGACAACCAGTTGGAACATAATTGTTCAAAAATCCAAAACACGTCCTCACAGAATGCAAGCGTAGAACTTTGCCATGTTCTTAGTACTTAGTGATTGAGTTAGAAGTCTTTACACTCCGTATTGCCAAGGCGTCCATCCCAATCGTTCGCTCGGTGCACATGTTTCTTGAGGATCCATCGGCGGCTCTCAGTTCGACACTATGCTTAGTCACAGGCGCAGGCAACTTGGCCGACCCTTGCAAACAACAGAGCGACATGGCAAAGCGTGTCCACGACCGATTCTGCGCTGGTACGCTGGCGGTGGTTGTGGTCGCGCTGGATGCAGACAATGCTGTTACGCTGGCTACGCTGGCTACGCTGGTTACTGGTTACGCTGCCTACGCTGTTTACGCTGCTTACCCTGATTTTGCGCCGGTTGACCAACGAGAACACAAGGCGTGCCAAAGCACACATTGACCATAGTTAATATGAACCCGCTATAGCAACAGCTGCTTGGAGATTTGGACGCTATATTATATTCGGCATGCGGCATGAGCATGTGGTCATGAACAACGCCAACTCCACCTGGGATGCGTCATCTTCTGAAAGATCATGTCGCACAACAAAGCGGGCAACAATGCCCACTGCAACCAACAACCTGTCCAGGCATCTCAATTAAAGGAGATGTGCACAGCCTGAAGCTGAAAACCGCAACAAACCAGGCTATAATTGGCCATAATGTACACCGCTGCCTCCGGTGAAAGTCTTCAGGGTCAAAGGCCTCTTGCCGCCTTAGCAATGAGAAAAAGACACAAAAACAAGTTGAGTTGCTGTAGCTTCAGCTCAGCGTTCGACTTCATTGGATGCATTAACTGGAGAAGGACCGACTTCAGCTCGTTCACGCCACCAGCCACAGCACCGGCATGGATATAGATCGCAGACATTGCCACAGTTTCCTGACGCGGTGGTTGCGAGCTTCATGTGCACCTTTCGCATTTCACTTTAATCTGATCCTTCGCTGAATCTTGGAAGCTGTTTCGCACACAGAGCCACACACATGTTTTCTCCATGTGTCTGGATCACCCACCTGTTTGTGCATGTTTGTGCCCTCTTGCCTGGTCATTGATGATGCTGCACAAAGTAGAGAGTGCCGAAAACCTGGGGGTGACAACAAGGTGTGGGAGTACATTGCTGCGTGTCCACTGAATCAATTCGCAGCAAGTCTCCACAAGCCAGTCTATCTACAAAGGCAGGGCCCCCCAGCCACTGAAATTGTGAAAGACTTATCCCATTCTCTGTTCGAGCAGGCAAGCCCTGCGCAGGGGCCCCACCAAACGTCGGAGATAGCGGGCTCATGGACAGCATGCAGAAATGAATCTAAAGAGTCACTTCAACTTTGAAGGCCAAGCACTCACCAGAAAGCTCGCTTGTTTCCCGTTATGGCTGGCAGACCCTGCCAGACCCTGGACCCTGCAGCCTCATTAAGTCTTTCTCGAAGCTTGGCTTTGAGCTTCATAATGGCTTCCTCTTGGTCATAGACATACTTCGTGACAAAGTCAAACAACATGCATGCAAGCAAACAAAACTCAATGATAAGCTCATGGCCGCACAAACTTCCTCACCATCAAACCCACTCCTCTTGCAGAAGGTGTACCTGAGAACACAGCGTGCCCACTCAATCTCAGAGAAACCTGGACAACAATAAGGTCAGGATCACTCATCTGGAAGACAGAAGCAATCAATGCTCCTCTCATGCCACAGTAGCAAGGCAAAGGGGAAAGCAGCAAATGGGCTTTTGGCTCGACCCTATCATAGGAAACAAGGCTGATGAGGTACAAGTCGGCAAATACTGTAATACCGAAAAACAGACTGAAGCGATCCCGATGGCAAGACGTGAAAGCAGGCAGGTCGTCCTGAAGTACTCAGCCCACTGCGCAACAGCCTAAACAAGACAAAGCTCAAAGTCCGTAGCTTCTTGTTACTAGTAGCGTCCTCTTGCTCCTGGTAGTACGGCCAGGAGCCCCTAATAGCGTCCTTGCTCCTAGTAGCGATGCCAGGAGCGCCTAGTAATTCATGCAGATTTGATTCGCTTCAACCTGTCACTCACAATTCATCACCGCTTCTTGCTCAGACTGGTGCAGAGCTGGCTGCTGGAGAGGAATCTTGCACGGGGTCATCATAGTTCCTAGTTACTAGTTGCTGTCAAACGCGCAAATTCTCCCAAGTATTTTTATATACGAATAAGACTATTTGTTCCTTCGACTTGCCCATGCTGGCACAAAAAAATCTCTACCCTTGTCGGACAAGTCTCCAGCGCCCACCACTGAAATGTGCCTTGGGCTGGGTCACGCGCCAAACGCACAATTTCGGGGTGCTGATTGCAAAAATTACCAAAATCCATCAAAATCGTTTCTTGTGCAATCTCGGCCCATGGTCCCAGCCTTGCGGAAGGCATCAGTGCATTTCTCCTGGCATCGATGCTCACCATGGATCTCTTCCGCACTTGGCTCACAGGCGTGGCCTTCATGGGATCATGGGGGTTCTGGGGATGTATAGGGTCCGTCTAGGCCACCGGACTGGATCAAAAATACCTTCACTGGGCCTCGCGTCAAGTGGAGCAACGGCGATACCAATGCCCCGACATAACCCAGAACGGCCACGAAGCATCCAAGGCCTACAGCAGTTCTGCACAATGATTAAGGCGGGTGGCAGCGCATTGGTCTTAGTCAGCAGATCTGGAGATAGACCAAGCTTGCCAACAGAGAAATTCCAAACCAAGACAACCAAGTCCATAATGAAGTCTAACAACCAATTGAGGAGGCGGGTTGAACCCCAAATCAGCATAGAAAAGAGAGAGAGAGAGAGAAAGAAAGAGAGAGAGAGAGAGAGAAAGAGAGAGAGAGAGAGAACCTGTCTGCAGCCGAAGCCAGCCAGAGCCACAAGGCTTGCACAACTCGAGCATTGGCCGCACGAGCAAATTGCTCACACTCCTGGTAGCTCGATCAAAGTGTTTGGGTTGTCATGGCCTTAAACAATCATCGGGCACCACAAAATCGGACCTACTAGCCCCTTTGTTGTTATTCTGCTTAGCCATCCCAGAACCAAAACTCTCACATGGCTTCCAAGTTCCAACTGTTAACCCGAGTAGTATTGAGGCGAGTTCCCTGTATCTCTCCGAGTGCCCCGCCGCAAAAACTCGGTTGTTCGATAATTGGTTCTTAAATTGCCCCCTGCGAAATCATCCTTATTCTACAATCATTATGACTAATTTATACTATTACAAATGAATGAATAATAGTAATTGGGTGTTCACAAAGTGAAACGGAAAGTCCGCTGACCTGGCCTTTATTCCTAGGCGACCTTTCGGATTCAGATCCCGAAGGTCCCCCAACCGCTGTGACTCTGTGACCGTGGCCCCAATTATCTGCAGTGACCGAACCGTCGTTGACAAGTTGATGGACATCTTACAAGTTGACAAGTGAAGAATCGGTAATGTATAAACAAATGATGTTGGAAGGGAAAGGAACCACTTCAATATGGCGTTATTTTTTCCAGTAATCGAGTTATATAAATAAAGGATCACACAGTTAAAAGCTCTAGGCAACTGTTTGGCGTTGAAGTAGTTCCTAGAAAGTCGAGAATTTCAAGAAACGTTGCTCCCACTACAGTAAATGTTTACTAAACGCACCCTTGCTGCAAAAAACACCCATGGATGTTGCATCGGTGGACCCCTCATTTAGTAACTTAGCAACTGTGTTACCATCCTGGACCAGGTGATTCTCCTCCAATGCCCTGCGGCAAACGAGCTTCTCCCGCGTCAGAAACACTACAACCTCAATTTCTGGCAAGTGCAACTGAGGGAGAGGACACTTTTCTAAAAAAAAGCGTCAATCTCTGACAACGCTAATTACATATCATTGTGAATCATGTTTCTTTAATCACGTTTACATCTATTCTGAGCGCGCAGCATCGCACATGAGGTATGCCACAGCTGGTTGAAAAGATTCTTTGAGCACCTTTTGGAAGACGGAAGCGGATGGAGCAGGCATGTCTGCGACACCCTCGCACTTCGAAGCCCCTCCTGCCGTCTCTTAGACTCCCAAGACATCACGTCAGCACATCTTTGCACTACCTCAGGGGCGAGAGCCGGTGAGAGCAAGCTAAGCATTCGCTGGGCATCCTTAAAATCAGCAGCACACCTTCGCCATGTCCGCAGCATAGTATTGCAATGGAAGGGTGCCAAAGGTCCTTGAAAGATCGAATCTCAATTGCTTCACTCTCCTCCACGGGGCTGGCACCCCTCAAAGTCCACGTAGTATAGATGGTCAACCTGAGTTTTGAAGCCGAGATCATGCAACGGCCTTGCTTTCATCACTTTTTCAGGGCGCTTGTGCCGGAATTGCTGGTTGCCATTCGTGCAACTCTTGATGTCTAGGCTTGCAGCGGGATCCATGTACAAATTGATGTCCGAAGTCATAGATTGCAAGTCCACCCCTGCATCTCTCAATCAACCGGAAGGACAGTACCAATCTAGGATTGCAATTCACCTCCAAGGTGCCTCCAACAAAACTCTGCTCGAGTCTGGCTGGCTGAGCAGCACCATCACTTTGCAGTTTGCTGACCTAAAACTTGTATTCCTGGACACTGCTTGTATCCTGCATATGCCATGACACACACTTTCCAGTGTTCCGTTCCTCTAAAGAGCCCGACAAGCCAACTCTTTCCAGCAGATGTAGCACCCACGAACCCGACTGCTAAAGCGGGGCGGGTGCGGTGTGCCTTGGAGTGAATGCAAATTTACCTCTCAGTTCTTAGTGGCACAGCAATCCCGAAGGCATGCACCTCTCGCACGTGCCGCGCCCAATTCTCAGTGGCTGGGGACAATGCATACCTAACGACGCACACCCAAACTTTCCACCAAACAGTTGATCCGTCAAAGCATCGAGTTCGTCGCACCCAGCTTCCCAAACGCGCGCCTTGGACACATGAGATGATATCGGATATTGCGCAATTGTGCTATATATAAATATAATTCCATTTGCTGTGTGTATTATTGTTCATTTCCCACTTCCATTGTCAAACAGGGCTGCGAGTGCTGAGGATCCAGCTGTTCTTCTGCCACACCTTGTGTGCAGTGCAATTCTGCCCAGTGTATTTTAGCGCCAGGCTGTTTCAGTCGGGCCAAGTTACTCCCAGGTGGGTGCAGGCACCAGGTTGAGAAGCCGCTGCCCACCCTCAACCTCCCGCACAGGATGCGGGATCAACAAGTCAGTTATTACAGTCATTATGCAAGAGCGACGCATTGGGGCCAAAGGTCTGCCTCATGGGCCCGGCTAGGTTGCGGCAAAGCTACGTGGAGGTTCTCTGTGAAATCCTCAGTCTCAGCGAGCACGAATGCAGGTGGAAGAGCTGGGCCGAGCACCACACACTGGCGGGGTACTCAAGGCACTCTCCACCAGCCATTCCTTGGCAAGGGACCATTGTAAAGAGTTGAGTGGTGTGTGACCTGTTGGAGGACATCTCGTGCAAGCTGGCTGAGAAGAATCAAAAGGTGCCAGAGAATGGATGTCCATCGAAATGGGCGACAAATCTATTTCAATCAAATATATATAATTATATATAATTATATAATATCAAATGCTTCAGTCTTGGTGTGATTCGCATGCTGAGGTGCAGGCCCAACCATTCGACCTGCAGGATCTGCAAACGCCTCTTCAACCCGCAAAGCGAGCTGGGCGATCATGGCCTTGAGCCATCGCAGGCGGCTTTGTGTTGGATTTGGCTGAAGTTATGTGGTGTTGCCGGCTGAGATTGCAAGAGTCCATGCTCAGGTTCAACGGCTCAACTTGAATATATTTGCACCATTTTGCACCCAGATATGAAAAGAGCCATTTTTTGACATCCAATGTCATGGCCCGAAGGACTTTTTAACCGCAACCGCTCTGAATACAACTAAAGCAGCCGATACAAGCTCTACCTAGCAATGGTACTGTGCTTCTGCATGCTGCAACGACCAGTGCGGCACAATCCTGACCGCTTAGACTCAGAAATTGTGCATTGCGAAAAGCATGCTTGATCCAGGAAAGCCGCGTCAAGAATTCTAATTACATGCATCTACATCCAATGCACCATGAAGTTGCTGGTCCAAGCCAAAAGTCAAGTTTGCGCCTTGTTCCGAACACCCCTTCGATGGAGCTGAGCATGACTCTCTTTCCGATGTGCCTGCTGCGCACGCTTGTTTCCGCCCTCTTCCTCAGTCGTTCCTGCTTATCAAGGTAGCTCACGCAATTTTGAAGCACCGCTTGCTCCATCAAGTCATCGATAATTATATATATATAATTCTGAGGACTCAATGGTTCTCCTGCCTTCTCTTGCCACATCTTGCTGCTTGCTGTGTTGGTCTGCAGACGTTGGGCCCCCCCAAATGGTCACCAGGGCACCAAGAAGCGATTGCCGACGGTTCCACCTCCGCAACCAACACAACTTAACTTAGCTGGACATTATTGCCAAAAAAGGATCGCATGCGGCTAGCTACTAGGAACAAAGGGCATCGCTACTAGGAGCAAGGACGCTACTAGAGGCTCCTGGCCTTACTACTACTAGTAGCAAGGACGCAACTAGGTAGGCAAAAGAAGACCCAAGAAAAAGAATCCCAACATGCGTAGCGCACTGTTTCCATGCGAAACGATCAGTTCGACACTAGGTGTCGTCTCAAGGAAACCGTGAGCCCAAGTGGCCCAAAAAGCATACTAATTACAGTAGCAGGCAATCACTGATTGAGCAGGACTACTTGGAGAGGATCCCAAGGG